TAATTTACAAGGTCCCACCAAACTACCTAAAGTCCCTGGGTCAACGTCTGCTAACAACAGCAGAAGCAACCGCAATCCGATTGAGGACACCGGTTTTGTGTGCACAAAAGAACCTCGTGCAAGCCCCCAACTTGGCATGGCCAACGATTACCTAATTGTCTGCACCGTTCCGCGCTCTGATTGGCTTCCGCGTGTAAGGAAAGATAATTTATCGATTTTAAAATGTAAACCTCCCTTATAACTGTATGGCCTGATAAGAATTTACTGAAAGCGTTCGCTCGCCAAAATTGTGTTCTGAATTATCTAATGGGAATTTTTGAAATTTTGGCAACTTTAAAATAACAAGTTTGGGCAGTGGAGATGTGGCTCCCCGTTGCGCCAGTAGGATGCGGATACTTCCATGACCAGTGCGATCAACATACTTAAATCCCATAAGAACATGTGCAATTATTTAGGACAACCAATAACCACCGAACAGACTTTCTGCCCAACTTGAACCACCCGAAAATCGTTCACATCTCTAACCCATGACTAGTGTTTAGTTATGACGGGAAATCGAGTAGTCGAATATATACGGCTCAGGATCTTCCATGAGCCTTTACTTTAAAATACGCCTGGTTTCACCTTTCAGGAAAAAAGAATCCTCGCCTCTGTCTTTGTTTTGCCCTGCATTTTAAATTTCAAGAATGAGCACTTCACATTTGGAGAAAAGCTTTTGAAATAGTTTTGGAGAGGGGATTATTTGATGGAATAGATAAGGACGTTTCAAGTTTCAAGTAGGCCCTCTGTATTTTAAAGCAAACCAAAAGTCAAAAAACCAGCCTTGAATTGTACGCATGTTCGTTGTTAATGTTTATGCCTAGCTTGACTTCGTCGGAAAAAAAAACTTGGTGACAACAGATGGTGTATTCAAGCATTGTGTACTGAGTGCACTCCATCGTCCGGCGGAATCCTCCTTTGAGTCTCAGAAAGTGTCTAAATAGTCTAATTTTTTCGCAACAAAATAGCGCGCCATAGGTAAACACAAATATCTACTTACACTTGTTTCTTACTCATAGTTTATTGGGGTTTGGCTGATTTGGACATTTTTTTCTTATACTTTATAGTTTATTTATTAGGTTTCTTGATATTCCTGAAAAAATTGTAGCTGGGAGGTCGTCTATTTCAGCTTACTGTTCTGAGATTCGATTATTATAGTTCACGGCGCAGAGCGCTGCGCACAAACTTAATTTACATGTATAACAACTGTAAGTTAGTTAATTTTATTTGATTTATTTAACTTTTTTAGATCTAAGATCAGTTTCGATTTTGGTTTTCAGTTCGTTATTATGTTCATTATTTTATTTTACTTTTAGATTATTTTTAGCTAAGTGATTTAGCTTACTTTAGTCTACGTTTTTTAGTTAGTTGATTTTAGTTTTAATTAGTTAATTTTTTTAATTTAGTTATTCCCCAATATTTGCATGATTGCACATTTTAATCATAGCGCACTTCTTCATTGACAAAGATTAGATTATCTAAATAAGTACTCCTCTTTTTTCTACCGTATTAAACTTTATTTTTTATTTATATTTCCTTTCCTTTGTATTGCCCTGCCTCTATACTCCCTATTACACCCGGTCCTGTATTAGAAAAGGGTGGGGCTTTCGCATGCTAATCTTTTACCCAAAGTAGGGTTCTACCCATCGTCAAAATACACCGTGTTTAGAATGAGACCTCGACATACTCCTAAGATCTTAGTTTCAAGATAATAGGCAAAAGTAATG